ATGTTTTGAACATGTTATATCTTCAATATTTGAACATACTGCTTATTTTGAATAAGCAATCTATCTGATTGATTGCTTATCTCCATTTGGTTTACTTCTTTTTCTAGGCTTTTGTTCTGTCTTTCATTTGAAACATTTTTCTCTGTCTCCTCATTTTGGTTATATCTTTATATTTCTTTCTTTAATTTAGGAAAAACAGCAACTTCTGGTAACTAAGAAGTAGCCTTGAGTAGAGCTTCCCCTTTGTAAACTGCATGTACCAGGTGTCTTTGGTAAGCCAGTTGGAGCTGGAGCTAGAGCTGGATAAAATGTGGGCTGTAGGAATTCCCAGGAGCAAGCCTTACCATAGCTGCCTTAGCAGGCTGAGTGGGTCTTTAATTGGGTCTGACTTAAGTGCAGGGAGTCCTGGCAGACAAACAGAACCACCACAGCTTTTGCAGGTCAGTTACAGCTGTAGTTGGAGCAGGCTGAGGCTTGAGTCAGTCCAGGGCACAAAAGCTCAAGTTGTAGTTGGAGGGAGCATTCACCATGGGAAATCCTGAAGCAAACCACAGAACTGGTGTTGGTGTGGGGACTGAAGCACACAGAGATGGCCTTGGCCAGCTGCCTAGAGCTTCTGGATTGTGTTTGTGCCCATTTGGCCAAGGTGGAATGGCAGCAAAAAATGGTACTCTTCAGTGTCTCTAATTTCAGAGAGTTTCCACAGTTCCCTTCCTGTTTGGTAAATGCTCTAGTGTTAGTAAATGGGTTTCCTTCTAGAAGCCTTTTAAGATACTGTATATTTGCTGTGCCCCAGGTTGGATGAGTCTGCATATAGGCCCTTTAGTGGTTCCTCCCTACTGCCAGTCAAGGCATTGGGGCTGGGGTTCCCATGATATCCTCTGTCTCTCCTACCTGTTCCCATGTTGTCTCTGTCTCTTATTTCTAGTAAAGAAAGTGTTCAGCCAGTCTACAGTTCTTCTTCAGTAGAGATTTTTCTGCCCACAAGTGTGGGTTCAATGTGTTCATGGGGAGGAAGTGAATTCAGGGTCTTCCTACACTGCCATCTTGGATGAGATCTGCTACTTTTCCATTGATATCAACAGTGTCTATGATGCTTATTGGAACATTTTTGTAGTGGCTGTTTTAAAGTTTTTGGAAGTTAAATCCAACATCTGTGCCATCTTGGTATTTGCATTATTGATTGCCTTTTCTCATTCAAGTTCTGGTTTTTCATATATTAAGTAATTTAGAATGGTGTCCTGGACATTTTGAATATTACATTATAAACCTCTGAGTCTTATTTAAATTCTACAGATTTCTGTTGCTATTGTTTTTAGCAAGCAGTTGACCTGATTAGGTACAGGCTACAAGTTCCAAAAAAACTTTTTTGTGCTTTGGTTCTCGTGTTAGTTCAGTTTTCAAAGGCTTTGTAGTGCTAGTCAAACCGGTCCCACATGTGCCCCCACTTAATGATCAAGCCACAGTGTGGGCAGTAGTCTCTTTGTTAACTGAGTTCTCAACATCTTTGGCGTATGGATAAGGATCAGATCAGTGTATGCACATCTCAGTTATGAGTTCAAGACTTCACAAATAACTTCAAAGATTGTTTTTCAGGGCTATCTGTCTTCAGTTCCCTGAAGCTTCTCTTCAGTTACCTCACTCCCAAGCATACTTTCAGGGCAAATACCAAGTGGGAGGACAGAGAAGAAGTATTCACCCCTCTCTTTAGGACCACAGCTCAATGATAAAGAAGAAAGGTACCCTTCTTTGGAATTTTGGCTCCTGCTCATCTGATGCTGCCACATTGTAGGAATGCTTGGGAATTGGCATAGCAGAAAATGGAAAGTAGAAGAAAAATGAAGGATTTCCACACTTTGACAATAAAGCTCAAGCCCAGAATGTAAGGCGGTTCCTGGAGTTCAACTCTGTCCCTGATGCCCACTTCCAGGTCTTAGGTTCCACTGTATCTATGTTCACATTAGAAGTAAAAATTAGTAAACTTTAGAAGTACTTCAAATTTTGGTGTTTTCCCCCAATTCTGTTACTACTTACTTTTCAGAGTCCTCTTACAGATACTCTGTGTATTATCTCCAGGTTTTACTAATATGTTCCATGGAAAAGGCAATAGGCATGCTTACTCTATCTCACCCAGAACCAGAATTTCCACACCTAATTTTTATAAGGGCCATTTTTAAGAGCACACGTGAGCCATTGCTATACTAAGTTTTTTAGTCTTCTACCCTATTACAAAACCCCAAAATTATATATTATTATAGTTATGTATTGTACTATAATCTTCATTTCATCATGAGGACACAGATACTTAGCAAAGATTAAGTAACCAGACAGAAGTCATCTGACTACTTTTGAGGCAAAGAAAATGCCTTGGAATTGTTATAATGTTCACAGATAACCTACTCGCAAATCAACTACAATGTTTATTAAAATTGAAGTTTCCTGTGACCTATTTCAGACAAACTAAGTTGAAATCTTTGGAAATGGAGCTCAAAATTTTCTATCCACACTGAAGTTCAGAACCAATGAATATTTCCTTCAATAAAAAAACCTTCAGTCTAAATGACTTTTAAAAGGATGTCAATATACTTCAAATAGAAATACCCATTAGGGTTGCTGTATCAATCGGCTTAAAATAGCTTATATATGCTCACCTATCCTATTATTCTGTATCATGTTAAGAACCATAAAATAAGATTTGTTATAAACCAAGGTTCACTTTATATGCAGGAAGATGTTCTCAGCCTCAAGCATTGGACCCAATGTTCTTTACCTCACTCTAATCCCTAACAATAAGAGCTCCCTAATAGGAACATCCCCAAGATGTATTAGTTAACCAGTATATCAAATTCTATTTGGGGAAGATATTAGGCCCAAGTGAATTCTGCTCATTCATTGGTACATTTCTCCCCAGAAGGTAAAGTCACCCTATTTTTCATGGTAGATCTTACTTAGCAAAAGAACAATTTTGATGGGCTAAATGTCAAAAACTGGGACCTCACCTTCTATAAAGCCAGTTTGAATTATGAGCCTCTCACTATGAGACAAATATGAATAAAAATATTGAAAAGAAACTCACTACATACATGGGGGGTAGAATTTTGCATCAAAATAAGGATGCAGGTCATTTTTCTTAGGTGAAAAGGTTTTTAGGACAATTTAAATGTAAGGGTATAATCATGAAGTTTGAAAAAGTGAATCAGATTGCAATGCTTGCTCAAGATCCCTCATAAATAATGTAAATAACATTAAAATCCTATACATATAAAATTTTTCTTTTGAATATCTCCAATTTTACAGATATTGCTTTAATGGCTCATAATAGGAATTAATCATTTCTCACTCGCACATGGGAAAAACAGATCAAATATGCCAATCTCCAAAGCCTTCTGATAGTCGCTTTTTAAACAATGGGTTGTAACACACTACAACAATAACTCATATTCTAGTACTAAAACTTATGTCAAATATTCTGCTTTGAGATAAAAATATTTTTCCAAAATGTTCTTATGGATACTTATGAGGAAGTTCATAAGTTTCATATTAATCATCAGTGATGAATCAAAAATAAAAAGAATTAGTACAGTTATTTTCAACAATGAAGAATATGTCAACCAGCAATTTCTCTTCCCACAGCCCCCACTTTTCTGGAGAGAGAAAACTCTAAAACATATGGCCCAGGAAGAAAATCTGCACTCATTTATAGCAATGAACTGGCTTTTACATCTCTGGAGCTAGAGTATACAAATGACTTCATAGGCAACAGCTTCCGTATGTTTCATATTTTTACAATTGACCATTCACAATAAAAGATTCTTTGATCCTAGATCAAATGTTTGAATCCACATTTTCTCTACACTTATTCAGAGTCACCATTATAAAAGCCCCCTCCTTTACCACCTCAGATGTTCCAGCCCTTCCTGCAATTGAACTATCTCCATTTGTCACCTTCTCTGTGGTACTTCCCATCCCTTTGCTGTGGTTTTCAGCTCTGCTCACTAACCTCTCATACAAAAAAGATATGGTAATAAATAAGTTTTGTACATAATTAGTTAACTGCAATAAATAAGGTTCCTATAAGTAACTCACAGGCATCTTTAACAAAACTGAAAGCTCATAATAGTATGGTTAATACACAAAAATGAACCTCTCCCAATCAGAAAACATCCTCAGTAGGTGAGGCCTTTGCTTACAAAGAAAACATTTTTAGAAATCTGGATAATATTTCTGGCATTAGGCCTTAAATAAAACAAAAGAGTAATAAAATTTAGATAAACACAAAAACATCAAAAATTTTAAATGCCTAAGCAATGCTAAAAAATAGAGTATCTTCAACATAAAATAATTTTAAATGATTCTAAGACCTTGCTAAGGAGCAACATTTTGAAAGAATAACCTTATTTGCTAAAATCTTAAAACATAAATTTTGCAGAAATGTACTCATTAAACAAAGGTAACTTTTAAATAGTTCTTTAAATGTCTAGTGATGAATACAATGAATTTGACAGTAGATTATACTTGGGCCCAATTAGATCTCATATTGTGGAAAGAAAGAAGGAAAGGAAGCAAGAAAGGACAGAGGAGAGAGGAATGGGCAGAGAGAGGGAGGGAAGGAGAAAGGGGAAAGAGAGGAAGGAAGGGAAAGAGAGGAAGGAAGGGAAAGAAAAAAAAAACTGATGTTAAAAATCCCCTTAATTTAATTCTGTTTATTTCCTTTCTGTTAGTACTGGTACACAGGTCAAATTTTAGAATAATTTAAGTTACTATAATTTTTCATTTCCAAATACAGCCATATATCTAAAAAATAATAATACAATCAGAGTGCTGTACCCTGTACTTGGAATTTGTAAATATGAAAATGGCATACATACTTGTCTAACACAGGGGGTCTTGAGCTGGTTATATACTTAGCAGCATTGTTCTAGGCAAAACTTAACCTTCCTGGGTTTTTACTAATGAATTGTTGCATATATCATCCATTCATCCCAATTATTATAAATTACCTTGCACATGGTAGCAAACTCTTGGCTATTTCCTGCTCCAACTACAAGATACCCATCTTTGGTTTTTAAAGCCTAAAATGAAAAAAAATACATGCATAAGTATATGATTTTATACATTGAGAATACCACAGAAGTTTTACCACTAAAACTTGTATAAAGAAAGCTTGTTCAAAATGTCACTATCATTGGGAAGATGGCGATGGAGTAGAACAGAGCAGATTCCACTTCTCCCCACATATGAGAGAAAAACCTGGTGGATCTATGGAAGAACAGAGCAAATAGCCAACAGTACCCCAGCATATATGAAAATAAGAAACCAGAAATTATAGCAGACACTGAAAAAACAGACAGTAAGGACACGGCTGCAGGACAATAAGGTCCCAGGGACCAGCGAAGGGACAGGGGCAATGGCAGCCTTGGCCATGCACCTAGCACCTGGTCTACCACAGACTCTTTGGGAGCCACAGGCCTGCCACAGAGTCCTTGGGAGACAGTGGGGTCAACTGCTCCCTCCCTCCCTAGCCAAGCATGGTTTGAGCAGCACCTGGAGAGACCAGGTTGCTTGAAGTTGCAGAGAGAGGAATAAGGACAAAGCAGCAAACACACAAGGGCTGTGATCACCCATGGAGTCTGTGGTCAAGGGCTTGGGAGAGTTGAGAGTCCAAGTGTTGGGCTCTGACCACGAGGGTCACCATTCTGCCTGGAGAATTGGGCTTTACTGAGCAGCAGGCTTGAGTAGGAGGAATTTCTCAAAGAGTAAAACTGTTTGGGGGATTCTCCTGCGACAGCAACTTGGCCTACTGCCCACCCAGCCAGGTGAAAAGCCCTGTGTTTCCCAATAGCACTGGGAAGTGTTCATGCCCAAACCCACGGACGAAGGCAGCCTGGCTGGGCAATCGGCCTGCACCCCAGCCAACAGCAATAATCCCTGGAGCAAGAGTGCTCTAAAGAACACCTGGATCCCCTGGAGTAGGGTGCTGGGGAGAGGTGACAGATTAGCTCTTGGGCAAGTGCTCACAAGACTGCCTGAGCACACATAGGGAAGTAAGAAAGGCCACACAAATTGCCCCTCAGCCTGCTGTAACCAGTGAGATGAGAAAAACTGGTTTAGCCAGGTTGAAAGAAACAAGAGGTGCTTTTAGTGTTTTTCTTTTTGTTTTTTAAGTAATCTTTTTTTATTTTTATTATTGTTTTATCTTTCAATACCTTTTTCCTCTCTTTCCTTCATTCTTGTTTTCTTTCCAATCTTATCTCTTCTTCCTCCCTTCCACCCTTCTCATGCCTTTTTTTTTCTTTTTTCTTTTTTTTTTTTTTTTACCCACAAGTGAGACAAAAACTTTGGAGCTGTGAAAGGAGCAGAGTTGGACCCAAAGAGGGAGCATCCCAACAGTAGAGACAAATCTCACTTTGCTATTGCAGAGAAACTACAAGTTACAACATATTTGTATTATTATTATTTTTTATTATTCTTACATTTTTTATTTTAAAATTATTTTTGTATTCCTCTTCTTTCTTTTTAGTCTTCTTTGCTTGGCTAGTTATATTGTACCATTTGACAGGTTTCCCCTGTTCTCTCTTCCACAATGTATTCATAATTTACTATCTTTCATGTCACTTGTGTTCCTTTAGCACACTACTCAAAATTCTATAACCCTTATTCATGTTATCCAGATCACATAGATTCTGTCATATGATTGTTGCTCTAATATTATTGTAAATAATAGCTGTTCCATACAATGGTAAATACTTCACAACACCCCTAATGGATCTTAGCCCACTTCACAGTTTCCTGAACTCTATTTGTGTAGTAGTTAACTCTATTTTCTCATATACTACAACTATTTACTAACCTTTACTCACACCTTACCTTAGAATCTGACCTCCACCTCACTGCTTTCTAGATCCAACTCAAAATCCTTCCCTCCCCAACAAGAGTCTTATCATCTTTCCATCCTTTCTTAAAAGTGGCTACTTGGGTTGAAGATCACAGTTAACACTATACTTAGTAAAAGGATCTCCTATCTCTTCTCTACCGGCTGCTACTGTAAATATCATAGAATACTCTCCTGCTGTTATAAACCATTTTGCCTTCCCCTCCAACTGATCACCAAAAAGAGTAAGTGGAAGCAGTGAACACCAGGATACCCACTAGAAGAGGAAACACAACAACAAAAGAACCACCAACACATAACAACAGAAGAGGTTGAAGGAGGGAGTGGAAACCACTCAAACCTCAATCCAGGACCTATCTAGAAATACAATTAAGTAGTGAAGAAATTACCCAGTACAACCAAACCTAAGCAAAAAAAAAAAAAAAATCCTCAAGACCTTGTACACACAGAAGAACTCGCTTCAACACAACATGCCCTCACCAGCACAACACATTGCAACAAGTGGTAGACAGAGGGACCATCAGTTAAACAGCAGGTGGGAAGAACCCACAAAAGAAAGACCCAAAAACAATTTTAAAAAAAGACAAACACAGAGCCAACTTAAAGGACAGCCCAAGACTAGTGAGACTGGGAAATCAAGGAGACTACATCACTGAATCTCATAGGTATTATACCACAGAAGTTCACACCATTAACCCAGGAAGCCAGAACAAATCAATTTAAGAAGCTAAAACTAACAAAAAGAGTTTCACAAACAATGGGAAGACAAAGAAACAATCCCCAAATGAAAGGAAAGGAGGAAGCCCAAGAAAGAATGGTAGATGAAATAGAGGCAAGTCAGATATCAGATATTGTATTCAAAGCACTGGTTATCAGAAAGTTTACTGAGCTAACAATGAGCTACCAGAAACTACAGGGGAACTACAATGAACTAACTCCAAACTATATAAACGTGAAAAAAGAAATAGAAATGATCAACAAGGGACAAGAGGAAATGAAGAATACAATTTCTGAACTGGACAGAGTGCAAGGAATCAAAAGCAGGATCAATAAACAAGAAGATTGGATCAGTGAGTTGGAGGACAAAGTGAAAAAAAAATCCAGAAAGGGCAAGAAAAGGAAAAGAGGTTCAGAAAGAATGAAGAGGCATTAACAGAAATGCAAGGCAATATGAAACATAACAATATCCATATAATAAAATACCAGAAGGAGAAGAACAAGGGATAGAAAATCTATTTGAAAAAGAAATGAGAAAATTTCCCTAATTTGATGAGAGAAAATGTCACACAAAACCAGGAATGACTAAGAGCCCCAATCAAGAGAAACCCAAAGAGGCCCACTTCAAGACACATCATCATCAAAATGGCAAAATTCCCAGACAAGGAGAGAATCTTAAAGGCATCAGGGAGAAAAAGGAAGTAACATACAAGGGAGCCCCAATAAGGATAGCTGCTGAATTCTCAATGGAAAGGCTCCAAGCAAGAAGAGAATGGCAAGAAATATTCCAAGTAATGAGAACCAGAGGCCTGCAACCAAGACTACTTTACCCAGCAAGGCTCTCAATCAAGATAGAAGGCCAAATAAATACCTTCCAAGACAAAAGAAGTCTAAAAGAATTTGCTGCCACCAAGCCAGCTCTACAAGAAATACTAAAAGGACTGCTTTAAGGGAAGAAAGGATAAGAGGGAGACAGGAACACAGGTACAAAAATGGCAATCAATAAGTACCTATCAATAATAACCTTAAACATAAATGGATTAAATGCTCCAATCAAAAGACATAGAATAGCTGAATGGATTAGAAAGCATGACCCACACATATACTGCCTACAAGAGACCCACCTCAGGACAAAAGACCTACACAGACTAAAAGTGAAGGACTGAAAACAAATTTTCCAAGCAAACAAACAGGATAAAAAAAAAGCCAGGGTAGCAATACCAATATCAGACAAAATAGACTTCGAAAAAGGGCCATAAAGAGAGACCCAGAAGGTTACTTTCATAATACTCAAGGGAAGAATCTACCAAGAAGACATTAACATTGTAAATATATATGCATCCGACTTCCGCCAAGATGAAGGTATAGGTGGATGTGTCGTGCCTTCTCACACAACCAAGTTTAGGGACAACTAAATATTAGCAACACAAAACACAGCCAGAACACGGAAAATTGAACTTTTCGGAAGTCTGGTAACAACAAATTCTTCAGCCTGACCGGTAAGGGGCAAAACCAGCGGCTAGTGAGGGGTTGCACAGGAGGACTCGGTCAGACGGGCTCAGGCGTGGAATCCAGACGTGGAATCCAGGTGCAGGGTTGGACCTAGTGAGCGACCCAGCGAGTGACCAGGCGAGCGACCGCGGAGGAGACAGCGGGGAAGCGGTGCTGTGCCTATTTGTGCACAAGCGGACCTGCGTGGGAGTGGGCGGTTCGACCGGGCCCGGCATCCCCCGGCAAGCAGCAGTAGAGGGTGCCGCCATTTCCCGCTCTGACCACGCCCCCACATACAGCGTCACAACCCAGTGACCTGGGAGTCCAAGGCGCCGCTTCTCACACTTAAAGAGACAGAACAGATCAAAAATGTCGCAAGAAGATCTCAAAGCCCCAGAGCCTATAAATCTAAGTGATGAAGAAATAGCAAAACTCTCAGAGGCACAGTTTAAAACACTGGTCATCAGGATCCTCACATAACTGGTTGATTATAGCCACAAATTAGAGAAACATAAGGAGGCGAAACTAATTGAAATGAATGGAATTGCACAGGACACCAATAGCAATGAAAAGGAAACTGGGACTCAAATCAATGGAGTGGACCAGAAGAAAGCAAATAATGACCAAACATAAAAGAGTCAAGAAGCAAGAATTCAAAGAAATGAGGAGAGTCTTAGGAACCTCCAGGACATCTTTAAACACTCCAACATCTGAATTATAGGGGTACCAGAAGGGGGAAAGGAACAGCCACCAGTGGAAAACTTACTTGAACAAATAATAAAGGAGAATTTCCCCAATCTGGAAAAGGAAATAGACTTCCAGGAAATCCAGGAAGCTCAGAGAGTCCCAAAGAAGTTGGACCCAAGAAGGAACACACCAAGGCACATCATAATTACATTAGCCAAGATTCAAATGGAGAGAATCCTAGAAGCAGCAAGAGCTAAGGGGACAGTCACCTACAAAGGAGTCCCC